CGAAATTGAGTCCGAAATTTCGGAATTTCATTTCATGGTAGACCTGTTGTTGTAGTCGCCTTAGTCGAAGTTCCCATTTTCAGGAATATCATACGTACAAGTCGGCAACAAGTTTTTGATAATGTTGTAAATCAATTTATTTTGTATGGATTATTATATCTTTAGGTAAAAATAAATTAATGCTTGGCTTATTTATTGTTGTTACAATGTTCCTTACTTCTACATATCTGATAATAACTGTGATTTTGTAACATCGATCGATAACGATAATTAGATATTGATTATTGATTATATTGATAATTTTAGTTCTTATTGAAGTATACGTGTTCCCACTCCAATAAAGTAGAAATACCTATTTATAAACGAACTTGTTTCACGAATAAAAGCACACATTTTCAAACAGATAAAAATTACAAAATTGTTAACACTGTACAAAAGAATTGCCTCAAAAATTCCTTCCGGTTTCAGCCAAAGAAGACACAGAAATTAGATTTCCGTTATATTGCGAAGTTGTGATCCTTGTTTCGTGAATCCTGATTTGATAAAATTTAAACGGTATGCCATTGATTCAATCAGGAAGGATATAGCTAATCTTTATTTGTATAGTGGGGTTCTTCATAAAAAGAAGGAATAAAAAGGTTTCTTCAGAGTCGGCGTAATGCTCCTGATATTGCAGGCGTTCATAGCGGTTAAGGTACCGCTTACCATCAGATAGGTCGTATGCTTGTTTGCCACCTCAGTGCTATAAAAAAAGTAAAATTATTATTAAGATCATTGGCACTACCAGTAAAAGATTGTGCGATAGTAATCATTTTGCTGTCCTTTTCTTGTCGCCCATGCTTTGTCTCATTCTATATTTGTTTTAACAGAATACATATACATCGTTCTTTTTTAATAATTTACTACATATTTATCATTTTAGATATTACTCTTCTTTACAAGTATTTTTTTATGTCATTCGTCATTGTATTACCTAAGCGGAAACAATTTGAAACTGAATTCTAAACATTTTCGCTTCACCTCATTATGTTTTTTGTAATTTTTAGTTATGCATCTTGTAGCCAATTTTGAATATGTTATTGATAGCTAATGTAAAATCGCAAGCATTTATCCTTGTAAAAATTGTGTTTTGCGAGTAAACATCGGTAGACAATGAGAATCTACATGACTACTAGAGCTTCTCAGAAAAACATCTCAAGGTCAGATAAGTAACGAGGCTTCAGAAATTAGTCTCGTTCCTCATGAGCCAATCAACATAATGATTATGTCGCGATAAATAATGGGATCTATACCTATTTGTAGTTAACCCACACTTTGTTAATGTAAAAAAAAAAACAGCAATAAATCTAATCCAAACAGTAGCAGACAAAACTTTACGACTTTGGCAATAGGTGCATTTAACAATACTTACATTGTATCTAGAATAAGTGTCATTGTTAATTTTTTGTGAATTTTATCATAATACTAAACTAACTACGGCGGTATGGGATACATTTGATTTTTTTGAACAATTTTATATAGCAAACAGCCAGACGGTGCATATGCACATGCAACTATGAACGTTAGTGGGGAAATGGATTGTTAGTAATGGAGACTGAGAATCCCATTGCTAGCAATATACCCAACCAGGTCGACCTCCTCGCGGTTCTCCCTGGAAACAATCATGGTTAATTCCTGATAAATTCATCATGATGGGCTAACTGATCTGTTTTCATTCTCATCTGTCACCCTACACTGGTGCACCGCCAGCGTATCCGGTTAGCGCAGGCGGAGTTACCATACCATTTTCACCCATCAAAAAAAAAAACTATGACGTCACAGAAATAATTCGTTTATTTCAAAACTACCGACCCACCCTGGCTTTGCACGGGTACTTTATTTGTTTGTGTAACTTTTAAATTGTTTGACACAGTAAGGCGGGTATTTTGGTGTGTGTGGAAAGTACTACATTAATATTCTCTAAGATTTTAAAATTTGTAAAATTTAATTTTAAGTTTGTAAAATTTGTTTTAGTTTTAACATAAAAATCATATTTTTGACTGAGATAATACAGTTAAATATATGGCGTTGCGGACTTTTATGTCAAGCTAAAAGTAATTATTATTTTTGCTATAGGTACATTTTATTCCTTTATTTGAAATCGTTCAAGCAGCGCAAGCCGTATAAAAGTCGATTGCTTGGGTACCTCTGTCCCATTCGTGTTTCTACTGTGAAGCAGTTGTGTTTGCATGGCTGTGTTTCGGTTTGAAGGGTGGGATATGGCGTGAATTTACAGGGTATAGAGAAATAACATTCGAGTCCTCAGGAATGGCCACGCATGGGGGGTATCATGGGCGAAACAGTATGTGTGTGTACTGTTATGTCCATGGTACTGTTCATGTCTATAGGCGACGGTTACCACTTTCCATCAGCTTGATTGCCATTCTAAGTCATAAAAAAAAATTGAATTTTCACCATCTTTAATTACATTTATTGTGATTAATTATTGAAAATATATAACCAAAATAAAAAGTAGCTTATAGTATTCAGGAATAATATACCTTTGTAACAGTATTATTAACCTGAACATCTAAATTCATAAACTTAACCTCATTATAATATTAGTATAGAAGTATAGATTAGATACTATAGATTTATTTTATTTTTTTATATCAAATTTAAAATAGTAAAACAATAAATAGAGACTTTTAGCAGAAGCTAATAATCATGATTGAATAGACAGGGGAATTAAATGGCAACTTAACGAAGGTCAGGGAGCATTAGTCTCTATCAAAAGGCCAGCATCTAAAGACTGGTGGGAAATTTTGCAAATAGAGTCTGAAATGGATTGGTCTTATAATGATAAACCAATAATAAGAAATTATAAATATAATAATATAAAAATATAATAAGAAAATACAGATCTAACATTTAAACTGCATATTTGTTTCTTGTTCTACAAGGAACAGATTGCCAATGAGCAGAATAGAAGAGAGGCAAAAATATTTCATGACTTGAAAACTAAAAAAAAACTACATATTCTTTCAATTTCCTTTATTTTTCTCATCAAATAAAGTTAAATTAGAAGATTAGACTTATCAGTAAAAACCTGTGTTCAAGGTGTGGGTACATGGGTACCTCTCTCATTTTTGTTTTTGTTGCCAAACAGTTGAGCACGCATTGAGGTGACAAAAATTTGCATTATTAATACCATAAGCACCATACTACATGTCGTGATGCTTTCAGTTGTTCAGGTTTAATAGCTATCAAATGAATCAAATTTTTTTTGCTTTCATAGTAATAATACAAAATAATATTTTAATACTGAAGATAATGAACATGGTTTTAGTAAAGAAGTATAAAACATCAGAATTCTGAAATTTAGAAATAAAAATAGCAGTATTGAAATAATTAGCTGATAAACATCATGAATTTTAATACTTCTTGTCACCCTGATGAAGAATTATTAATCTAACATTATAATTTTTGATCCTTTTTATAAAAAGGATAGATTTGATATTTTTTTTAAAAGAGGGACTCAATCAATTTAATTATTTTATTAAGAAACAAAAATAAACTGTGTGATGACGCAGCCCGTGGATACTAATATAACATAACATTGTGATGATAATATCAAAAAAATTAAACTCTGTTCCTATTTTTAGATTATATCATGTATAGTAGCAATTAAAATTGTCAAGGATCATTATGTTTCAGTTTCAATAATGGAACATGACAGTGAAATTGCATGGGGGTATCATAGATATCACAGTGTATTTTGTGATATCTACAGTACTGTTTATGTCTACAGGCAATGGCCTCAGGCAGGATGAGATTGTTTGCCATTCAAAGTTCTATAAAAAATGCCAGGTACCTCATGGCATAGGTAGAGAGATTATAACTTGTGTCCTACATATATTTCAGATGTGTTTTTTAACTTTAAGATACATAGATTATAGCAATATTTAAATATAAATTCCTAATAAATATCCCATAAGAAGTTAATTATCTAGACAAACAGGAACAAATTATTTACACAATATTGAAATACATAACATAAAAACATTCAAATAGTAACTAACCTCAAAAGCAGGCAGTTAGGATCACTCAGGTACACTTGTGTTATTTCAGGCAGGCATCAACTGTCCTGTGGAAGACCACCATCTTATCATTTCTCATAGCAACACCATAAAATATTTTTTTGCATTCAATCAAATTAATCTCCCATCGTTATTTCACACAGTCAAGGATACTATAGTTGGAAATGTGCCAAAAATGTGCTGCAGCTGAAGCAAGCAAATTTGAAAATCATTGCAACACTAGTAAATAACTACTAATGCTGTGGAAATTTGGTGTTAGTTTGTCAATAATGCACAAATTAAGATACCATATGCATTTGACAGAAATGTAGAAAAATAATGTTACTGATTAAAAAATATTACGTATTTAGATGAATTAGTAATTGCTATGTACAACAAAAAAAAATAGGAAAAGAACTTAGCCTAAATGTTAAGACACTTACGAAATTTCTTCCTCTAAGGGGCATTTCTGTCACCAAAAAAAGATTTCTATATTTTTAAAGCAGAACAAATTATTGTTAATTAGCACAGTTTATGAATACACATTAAAATTTTTAGAAAAATTGAGACACAAGCATTCGTTCTAGAACAATCACTCACTTCAGTAACGTTCCAATATACGTAATATGTTACGTATCTGTCGATCTAGTTCTGTCTACTGTATGTTGATTTAATAATGAAAAATATTTTTAATTGTACTTAAAAATGACGTTACATTCTTTATGCAAATTAAGTTTATTTATTTATATATTTCTATAATATCTATATAAAATAATAACTGATTCACATGAAAGAATTAAAAAAATTCTGTAAAAACAGTAATAAATAGAAAAAATATAAAAATCTTTTTTTATATGTAGCAACTCATGGTCTCAGTCGTGTCAATTCGTCAATGTCATAGTCCCTCAATCTGTGCGTCAGTGTCAGCATAGTCGCGTAGTGTGTAATTGTCAAAATTGCATTTGTCAAATTAGATTTCATATTGTCTTACGAATAAAATTTTGATAAAAAATATTTATTTCAATACTTATCATTTGGAAAATCAAGTTAATTTGCCTAGGCTAAGGATACGAATAGTTAAATAAGAAATTATAGTGAATACAATTTTTTTTTCGATGTTTGAACACTAAGTAGAATGTACTAAAATAGTTTAAGTTTACCTTTCAGATAAAATAATAGATTAATGACAAAGTTGATGATTATCAAATAATCACACAGCGTTATCACATGCAATGTACTCTGTGGTAATCACTCACTACGTAATTTAGTCTCAATTTTGTCTTATTCTTTTATGTTATCTTTGACAATCATGTTTCGCCTTACATTTACAATATTTATTTCTTGGTTGTAAAACAGGAAAGGGGTACTATTTTTTATTGAACAGAGTTAGCAGCTTAACAGACCTTTAAAATGGAATTTACACCAACTTTAAACAAAATCAAGTTATTATTCCAAAAACTTCAAGAACCAAATTATGTTATGAATAATTATTATGTTGATGCCTTCCTCAACAAGTTTCATGAGAGGACAGATCCAGGTCAGTTTGTATGGTAGATGTTAAGCTATGTAAATCTTTATCTGCTATCTATATTTAAATGTACTAGGTACACAAGTATTATTTTAAAATACACCAGGAAGATGTATTTTTATTTTTATCAAATTATTATTTCTTAAATATAAATTTAAAGATCTATTTGGTAAAGTGGTGCCCAATAGTTAGATTTATTTGTTTGTGTGCCTTGTGTTACTTTATTTCCTAAAGGGAGATTATATGAAATTCAGTACTTTTATTTTTTTTATTTTGTTACTTTATGTCTTGAGGTTTAGATCTGTATACAAGATTCATTTGTATTGTAATAAATTATACAGTCACATACAATACTATTGATTGATTTTAGTTTTTGCTCACATTCCTCAAATTGCTATTTGTTGGAGAATGTAATACTATGAAAACTGATAAAGAATATTGGTCTTTTATTTGCCTGTACTGTAAATTAATTTATCGCATCTTGCAACCTTAGATAAAAAATTGTGATGCACTTATATAATTGTAATTGCTAAAGGTATTACATGTTCTGTACATACATATGTACATATGTATTGCATGTATATCCTTGTATACACACAATATATAATTGTAATATAGTATGCATAATCTTCTTGTCTCTTTTTATTTGACAGAAATACATGTAGAACATACTTAATTGAATTCATATCATTGTAACATTAAAATCCAGCAACCATGTTAATTCCAATACTAGAATTCTAATGTGCATTTTAAGTAATAGCTTTATAACTTAATATTCACAACTTGCTGTTACCCATGGTTTTGCATGTGTATGTCATGCTTCCCATTTACTTAAGTTAATATTTTAAAAAATCCTCAGCAGACACTTATATTATAAAATAAACTTGTATTCCAAATTTCAGCATTTAAATTTAGTAGTTTTGGCCATGTGTATTAACACAGTTAGGGCAAATTATTTTATAAGTATAAATAAATTAATGTTTTATAATGCCCTTATAAATATTTTTTTTTTAAATTATGTTTTACTTTTTTCAGAAATAAAACAGCTCTCCTCAATGCCTTTGCTGTCAGATTTATTGGCTGATGCATTAGGCCGTTCAGAAATGCATCACATCACTGTCAAGGTATTCCTTGTGAGATTATTGGCTAAAGGTTCTTATCAGGAGCTCCATTTCTCTAAAATGTTTTCACAGCAAGGCCACATAATTGCTAAAGGTTTTAAAGAGATCCAATCATCGACTATGAATCCAAGCCTTCGTGTAGCATACTTGGAAGTAGCCCTATCACTGGTTACTCATAATTCTGGAATTTGTTGGCTTCTAGAAACAGGTGTTTGGAAGGAAATACTTTCATTGTGCAATGAAAGAAGAACTGTTTTTGTTGTACGTTTTATGCATAAATTTGCTGCAAAGTTTCTTTGGAAACTAAATGATTTGGGTGATGCAGCTAATTTAAATCAAGTGATAAGCTTTCTCCTTAAACCTATGGAAGAACTTGACCTTATTAATCCAGAATCTGTAACGAGAGAACAAGAAAAAGTGATTTGTAAAGTGATAGATCCTATTTTACAGATACTGTTAGCTATTTTTGCTGAAGAAAATCGTATATCAAATCGCAATATATTAATGAAAATGTTTGAGACAGAATATTATCTTTCCAAATACATGTCGATCTATTTCGATAGAATACGCAATGAGGAGACCTCACTTATGTTAATAAGACTAATATTTTGGTGTATGCTAGCAAAAATATTTTCATCAAAGCCTTTAGAGGAAGGTGTGATTTATAACAAAGAAGATTTCCTAGAGCTTACTGTTATGTACTATAATACTTTACAGTTCCTAATAAAAAGACGAAATGCGAAGATTGTACTAGATTATTGTACTGCATGTAATGTAATCTGGTGTTCTACGTGGCAGAATCATAAATATGTGTGGCAGAGTGATGTTTTGAAAACAGAGTTACAGAATCAGATGTTAGTTATGTCTGTAACACCTCTTTTGGTGTATATATCGTTGGGAAGGAATATTTCAGATATGATGTTGAATGAGAGATTTAACACTTATGTCGCAACCCTTTTGAATACCTCCAATGAACATACAGCCAGAGCTGCATATGCCTTTAGAGAACTAATTGAAGATATGGACACTATTAATATAGTTACTCAAACTGCAAAGAGATTGACATGTTTAAAAAATCATTTGAATGATGATCAAGCTAACATAATGTTTCAAGCTTTGTTCTTTGTTCTAAAAGACTATGATCCCACAGATAATGCAGGCGAATTAAAGAAGGAGGAGTGTTATGGAGAGAACCAAGAGAGAGTCGTAATAATGACTTACATTATGGAAGCAGTACTGTTTTTAGTAAAACATTACAGTATAAACTGGCATGAATCATTAGAAATAATATGTTTGTACACAATTGTTAACAATATTCTGAAAAGGCCAAACTTGCCCCCTAAGGTATGTATAAAAAACGGGTATCATCTGTCTACCCTTATCACAACTATTATTTGGGGCCCGCGTAATATGGTTTTATCCATATTACTAAAGGATTTGGCTTATAGTTTTATGTTTGTACTTTTTATGATTCGTGTCTTATAAGCCGAGGTAATAATTGATTAGGCCATGACATTTTAGACCATACTGATGGCCGTGTGGTTCCCACATAGAATGGGTGACCACTTCCTTTCCCGTGGATGTCGTAAGAGGCGCTTACGGGAATTTAATGGTCGACGGATTGGCAGTAGCGTTTCTCTTAAAACATCACCAAAGCCTAACTTTGGTTGCCAATCTGTCTGCCAAACGTGGTAACTACTGGTAAAATGATGATGATAATATGACAATGATGATAATGATGATTCTAGATCATCAGTCCAGCATAGCATTAATTTTAGGAACAAACTTTATTTGCCATATTAATAATAATATTATGTTTTCAGTTTGTTGTTACAGCATTAAACATATTGACGCTAACTGTGAGAAAGTTTCTGCCACCCAACCTTTCTTTGCTTATGGAATCGAAGCCAGGCTCGTCAATACATGATATTGGGCAGCTAATTTATACCAAGATGCATGACTTACATTGGGAAGTGCGAGATTCAGCGTTGGAACTTTTGTTCGTGTGTACTGACTTTGCCTACATTAGTGAGTATATAAAAAAAAACACTTGATATGTGCAACTTAATGCCGTGTGGTCCCGGCATAGAATTGACCACCCCTTCCTTTCCCATGGGTGTCGTAAGAGGCGACTAAGGGAGGGCAAGAGATGGGTAGCAGTATTCCTCTTAAAACATTTCGAAAGTCTAACTGCGGTTGCCAATCCGCCTGCCAAGCGTGCCAACTACTGACAAAACCGCCCCTAAGGTGGAGGCCTATGTTCAGTAGTGGACAGTCTATTGAAGTTATATAAGTTAACCTTCAAGAAAAGAGCATATTCCTTTTTAAAAGGCCAGCAGCACACCTGCAGTGCCGTTGGTGTTGTGGGTGACTATGGGCGGCGGTAGTCACCAACAGCTGAGCCGCTTGCTCGTTTGCCCCTATGTTGTAAAAAAGTGTTTATGTTCAAACTCATATTTTATGTCTATTCAAAACAATATAAATTACCTTTTACAGAGTTTCCTCCATTCCAAAAGCAGATTAACGATTCCAATCTTATAAATGTAGCCGCAACAATCGCTCTGAATGATTACGAATGGTACGTCCAGGCGACAGCTCTCAAGTGTATAGGGGCCGCTGCTAAGATACCCATTTTGTGGGATCAGCTTACATCGCAATACCCGAACATACAGGTAAGCATATACATTGATTCTAATTTTTGTTTTACAAGCACGTAATACTAATAATAGCTTTATATATATATATATATATATATATATATATATATATATATATATATATATATTCTTAAATAACAAACCTTTATTTTCGGATTAGCTTTAAATATACTCGATATGTCTCTAATCAGTGTGCCCTGTGGCATAGGCCTTCTCCAATTATTTCCACTAGCTTTTATCATTTACAAATATATATTGCTCTGGTAAAAAAAGGGCCATCAATCTTGAAAACTGATAAACGACAAGATGATTCCACTTATTTCGTAGACCCTACAAAAGTCTATATGTAAATATACAATGTTTACAAAACATTGCTATATATATAAATATATATATTGCTTCGTATCAAGTAGTATTTTACTAAGCAAAAAAAGGGCATTCTCGGTCATTACTAAATTAAAAATCGGTTCAGAATTGATGACATGACCACTTAACGTAATCCCATAAACAAATTTAAGAGGAAATAAAAGTATCGTTTTAAAAGTAGTTAAAAAATCTATTCATAATAGAATTCTATATTCACAGGAACAACTTCTTACAATATTGAGGACCAATTCAGAGGGTGTAGTACGAAAAGAAGCGTGCAATGTACTTTGTGAAATATACCAACATATTAAAATATCATCTAACTTCAAACAGACGTTATACGAATTTATGGTGTCAGCAGCCCTCAGCGACTTTCACTGGGAAGTGCAAATCAGTGCTTTGAAATTCTGGAAAATGGTGATACAAACCCTACTGAGTGAGCAGGGAATGCTCGACGGTACATTCCCACCAGTTACATTCTCGAGAGAAACACGTAAGATCGTCACTTTAAATGAAGCTGAAATACAAAAGAGGTTGTTCAGAGTGCTAGACGAACTTTCCTACATAGGTTGCCTGACCGTCTTGGTCAAGCTGCTAAACGAAGATTCGGAAATTGAAATAATGGAGTTATCACTAACAAACTCGGTTGAACTTTTGGAAATTTTGAATAAACACAAAGTACCTGATCTGTTAAAACCTAGTGATGGTGATCCCTTCAATGTGGACGAGCTGATGTGTCACATTCAAGTGCCGGAAGATGAGGATATAACTGAAGATATGGCTGATCCCGAGACGACAATGCGAGCAGACAATGTCATAGACACTATTATTCAAGTGGACGACATTAGTTTACTAGCGAATATTTATGAAAGATACATGAATTTGCAGAGCAAACCCGCTATGCCGGGCAGGCCGAAAATAAAGTTGTTGAAGTCGGCATCGCCACATTTATTCGTGACATTCCTTAACAGCAAAGACTTCAAAGGCATCCTTGAGCAAAAGAAGAAATGGAAGGATGGTATTAGAAGTCTCTCGTCGTTATTAGACGATATTCTCGGGATTTATGAAACCAGCGAGGATGTTAATACTTTGGATTGTTATTGAGAATGTATGTTGTGTGAATACATTTTGAATGTAGTTTTATAGAGATTATTAATTATATTTTGTTCACAATATTTGATTTTAATTTGTTCTATCAACAATTCGAGTTTCTACCGTGAAGCAGTTGTGTTTGCATGGCTGTGTTTCGATTTGAAGGGTGGTATATAGAAAAAAAAAAACTTGGAACTGTTTCCATTATATGTTTAATAATAACATATAATTCACATCTATCTAAGCTTATTTAAATAGATCACTAATGACTTGAGATATTATTAATTTGAGATAAAACTATAAAGTTGTTTGCTTGATGAATGTGTAAAGTAACTGTTTATATTTTTATTACTGACCTAAATAACATCAAATCTGTGAAATATTTAAAATACCTATTGAAGGCCTATAATGACAAGTCTTATAGATATTTGCTTCTTTAGATAATTTTTAGTTTGCCCGTTACTTTATTAGATTTTTCAATTATCAAATTTATGACAAGTGATTTGAGACTAATCAAAGAACACTATATCATAGCCAACACTATCAGGCAAGCACCTTAAATACATTTAATAGAGAGAGACTATAAAATTTGTCTGTTCGGGCACCTCTATCCATAGTGTATTAGTGTTTCTGCTATATAGCCATTTTTTGCATGGCTGTTTTAATTAAAAGGATGTGGGGTATGGAAATCAAATTATAAGATAGAGGGTAATATCTTAGTTGTTAGGACTGCCAATGCATGAAGGGTATCATGAGCGATACAGTTTATTTCATTATGTCCAAGGTCAAGTTCATGCCAATGGATGATGGTTACCACTTTCTATCAAGTGGGCTATCATTTGTTTGCCATTCTTAGTTATATAAAAAAATTAGTACAAAAATTAATTGGTGGTTTTATATTAAAAATCCAGGGGAATTTGAATTTTTATATTTTCTAAACAATATTTTACACACTAATTACAATTAAAGTACATCTAGGAACTAAAATTATTCAATTTCTATGACAGCACCAACTTTAGATAATGCTTCCTTTAATTTTTCTGCTTCATCTTTGGATATATCTGCTTTCACAACAGTGGGCACACTCTCCACAAACTTCTTGGCTTGCACAAGATTGAAACCTTCTAGAAGATTTTTGACTTCTTTGATTAGTGCTACTTTCTGTTTCTCGTCAAATTTGGTCATTTTAACCTGCAACAGTAATTGACAATTATTAAACATTATAAGTTAATTTTGGTCAAATTTACTAGTAGAAGAAACAAGTTCAAATGTATTTGTATTTCTAAATCTGTAGTTAATATATAGAGATAAAGAAATGACATTTCTGAAGTGAGATCTATTCTGAAATGTTTAAAATTGCAAAAATCGCAAAAACATAAAAAATTATAAAAAATTGTAATAAAAAAAAATTAATAGCCTAAAATACTGCCGAGGGTTTATTCACGCATTTGGAGTTCTATTGTTTGTTCTAATGAAAATGAATATGTTTATTTCCCATAATTTCTGAAACCCCTTAACCTTTTGTATGCTTTGTATGAAGCAAGTTTCAGAGATAGGACTTTTTTCTAAAAAAAAAAATAATGAACCTTGGCAGCAAGGGGATAAACAATATTTGTCAATTATGTAATATTTGTCTATTATCAATATTAATATACACACAGTGAAACTCGTTTTGACGGTCTTTGGCGCTGCCTCTTCCTCCTCCTGAGCGGGAGCAGCAGCCACTGCAAATCCTCCAACGGGCATAACAGGTGCATCGGGAAGATTTAATCGTTTCTTTAGCACTTGACTTAGTTCCGACACTTCTAGAAGGTTAAGGTTTGTTATATCAGCGACTATTTTCTCAATTTTAGGCGATACAGGCTTGTCGACTCCTTCCGGCACTGGTATAGTGAGAGGTGTCGCTGCTTGAGCTACTTCTTGTTGCAATATCGCACTAGAATCAACACAGAATGAAGTACATTAAAAATAATCTAAAAAAATAAGAATATTCTTAACACAGAATCAAGAAATTTGAATTTATTCTAATAAAACCAACAGTGAATGAATAAGTAAAAAAATTACCATCTTGAAAAGGAACGCCATTGCTTAAGAGGGAACTTAATAATTCTGATGCTATTCATAATTTTTAATTTGTTTGCAAATTTAAATTTCTAGTTTTCCACAAAGATGTGATGTAAAATTGTAAACGAGAGGTTAGTTTTCAGAACAGGAAGAGGCAGTAAGCACTATTATTAATCTATGGTTTTCGTCCATTCGCAGGCCACAGATTATATCGTATCTAGAATATCTGCCGTAGAAAGAGCTTGCTGGGCATTTTTAATCTATGGAATTTATTTATAACAAAGCTTATGGAATCTAATAAATTTGTTTACCTATTCCAAATTCGTCTAAGGTTTATATCTTGCTGTATGGAGAGTAGATATAATCGTGAAGAGAACCTTTATTGTGTATAAAAAGTGTTAAATGAGGGTAGCACTAAGTCTAGTATAGTAGCGGGTGCGTAAATTTTAAAGGAAGTAAACAAGGAAAACGAAGTATCTGTTTTATATAACGAATTTTTCAAAAGAAAAACTTAAAATAGAAAAATAATGATATTATATATAATTAATCTTATGATAAATATAATTTTTTGCTTTATAAGTTATACTTTGTAAAATATAAAAATAAAAGTTAAAAAATTATTTTTGTTCATAGAAATTATTAAATTAAATTCATACTTTCTTGTTACTCAAGCATCATTCTGGAGGAATTTACATCTGTTATTTACAGTTTATCTTGACACTTTTGCTGTACTTATTAGCCCCTTATGAGATAATTCGCCATACCCGCCCTTCATACTTCACATCCTGGTGATTTGCACTATTCAAACTGAAGAGTAGGTACGTTAGGATATTATGTTCTGTGTTGTGGTATTGGCCAACGTTCAAGAAATAACAACTCATTGGATCGCCAGCTATGCTTTTTGAATGTTCACTAAAATCACACATTTTAGAGAAACATATACATCAATATGATTTTAGTAGAAACATATTCTTATAGATATTTATAATAATTAAAAGCACAAGCGTAGTAGTAGTAGGGTCTTTGTGGATCACACAGTTTGCCTTCTGTCGTAATAAATTATTAGTAAGTTCCTCTATTGTCTTTGGCTCTCGATTCTCGTTGCCTAGCCTGCTCATAAGAGACCTAGCGTGAAGATAAAATGAAGCAGAATTTAGGTTGTTTTTACTTGTTATAAAATAATGTTACTGTGTAATACAATAAATATTCGTATTCAGTTTTAAGCTGGACGCGGTTTAGTCATAGGAATAAACTATTCTTATGCTTTAGTCTTTAAAAAAAAAACATTAGAATAATATATATTGTCATGAATATTGTTTATAGTTTAGTTTATATTGTAGGGAAAGTGTTCATAATAATATTTTGAACACTTTGTGTACTTATATTAATTAACTTACAAATTTACAAAATAGAAGGTGTTTTATTTGTTAGATCTTAACCGGTAAAAGGTTTTGATAATTCTTTAGAAACATGCAGAGTTTAATTTCGTATCGGTCGTATTATTTATGTCACAATTGAGATCGTCATATTTTATTGCGAAACAATGTTTTTTTTTTTTCAATCTAACTTTAATTTTAACGTCGAATCGGGTCTAATACGCGATGCCTAAGTTAAAATATTTATAACTAGAACGTGAATAAGAGTAATGAGATGAAGTAATGTTTTGTAGAGTAAAATCTAATTGTCACTATTCTATATATATACCTACAGATATATGACAAACTGCACTTGTGAACCATTAGCATCTCTTCCGTATTTTGATCTATTTATATAATACCTACGACGCGACAATGCAATGGATGTAACCTTAGTACTACATTTCAATGCCATTTACTGGGATGTAGTCACTTCTAAAGCAAATAAATACATATATTATTTCTATTACATATTATAATTTACTTATTTATATTCGCGCTTTTTTTATACAACTTGGTATAGCAAAATGGCGACCCATCTGAGAAAGTAGACATAATTAGTACCATAGACATCATAGAATTTTGATATTGATAGAACCATGGTACATGGAATGCCTAATACGAAACCATATACAGATATTATAATGTTTAACCGATTTTAAAAACGAGAGAGAGAGTGGAGGTTCTCAATTTGATTTGTATTGGTTTTTGTGTTACAAAAAAATAGATAAAATCTTATCTGAGAAATCAGTTCAGGGTATAATAGGGGTGATATACTTAATGTTGCAGGCACATAGGCATATGCATTTGCCACATTCATGGTATAAAAAAAATACATAAAAAACGTATAAACCCTTAAACATGTTAAAAAAAATACGTCACGCACTAACGATTTTTGACTGGAAAACTATACGTAAAGTTAGGGACAAATAAAGGCGAATTTAGATACTATTGTAAAAGCGTATTTATTTGTCTCTAATGATCACACAGACAAACAGACATATAGACAAACAGAGAAAAATTCTAAAAAAATATTATTATGGGTTCTATTGCTTTTATGAAGCCTCCTTATAATAGTTTTTCTTATAAATGTTTCATGTACAGACAGCGACCAGTTACGTTTTGTTTATTTTGTGGGCTGTCATTTCAATAAAAATATATGCTAAAATTCTTCATTAATGATTACATATAAAGAAAAACAAGAATACGTTTTCTTTGATCATACATATCATACATATATACACATATTATTATAGTTTTTTTAATGAGTGAAAATGGCATTGTAACCCCGCCTTTGCTATCGGTATACACTGGCGGGATACCAGTGAGAGGTGATATGTGAGGATGAAAAGGCGGATCAGTTAGCCTATTGTGACGAATTCATCGATAAATTAGTCACGATAGTTTCCAGGGGGAACCGCGTGGAGGTCGACCTGATATGGTATATTGCTAGCAATAGGGTTATTAAATCCCATTAATCCCTTTCCCCCTACATTATCATAGTACGTATATAGGTACTATCTACTATGATACTAGATACAACAAACTACATAGAGGTGTTAACGTATCTACGTACTATACTCTGCCTAGTGCATTCGTGTCGTATTGTTCAATGTCATAAAGGTATGACACAATTTAATTGCGCATGCCTTATTAATGTATTGATTATCGGATTACGTAATTAATTATAATGATCTCCCAGCATGATCTGTTAATTTTTTTTTATACAACTTAGAATAGCAAACAAGATGACGGCCCACCTGATGGAAAGTGGTAACCGTCACCTATAGACATGAGCAATACCATGGACATAACAGAGTATACTGTTTCGCCCATGATACCCCCCCCCCCCCCATGTGCTGCCATTCCTGAGGACTCAGATGTTATTCCTCTGTACTCTATAAATTCACGCCATACCTTTCACTTTCATCCTTCAATCCGAAGCACACACTGCTTTACGGTTAAAACACGAATGGGACAGAGGTACCCAACCAATCGACTTTTGTACAAAGTCTCCATTGTAACTTAAACTGGTTGTTTTCTTTTTTTCTTAATCCTATTGATCCTATTTTTAAACGTAGCGACGCAGTACGCCGTACTTTTCGTAAAGAAGACTTCCGGATGAAGTCAAAACAACTTGTTTTAATTTTTTTTTATTATTTTTACCTAGGTATTGAAATATACATTATTAGTGAGAAATATAGGTTGCATTTCAATTAAAAAAAAAAAAAAACCGTGCAAATCGAGGCGAGTAAATATAAAAGTGCGTTGGCTTTTTTATTTGTTACCTTTTATCCAGGGCTCAAACATATTTTATAAAATTTTATATATGCAGTAATTGTATTTATAAAAGTATGACCTACCTATATTATTTTTACTTGTAAGTGTACACTGATAAGAATAATAAAACATGGTCAGTTCTCATTTCTCGTTTCGCTCACATGACTTCACGTGTGCAAGCTGTAAACATTACTTCGTGTTGGTACCAACTTACATTACTACTAACAGCCTGACTCATGGTTTCCGTAGTAAATACATAGTTTTGTTTCCATAGCAACTAGCATTTATCGTATGTTGATATACGCTTTGGAAGAATGTTTTGAACAATGATTGGTTTAGTTATTTTGTCTTTGTAAGTGACTTTAAAAAGGAATAGATTTTCAATTCGTCTATATTCATAGTAGAATGAATAGATATGTGTATCTATTCATATCAATACTTAAATAATGAATAATAATAAGAAAATACGTACCTATCCTGATACAATTTCAATGACTGGATAATATTGTAACAGATCCTTAGACTATTTCTAAATTGAAAAAAGTGTTGTCCTCCTCTCTCCTACTTGCTGTGCCCAACAGGGTCCATAATTGAAATGTTATCTACTAAGTATATTATGGAATGCAATAAGAAATAAATAAATAAAAAGCAAAAAAAAAAATACACGAAACAAAAATATAAGAACTAATTTAATGTAAAAAAAATTATTATTTTTAATAGGTAGGTATATAACAAAAAAAAAAAAGGTATGACCAAAAAGGTGCGTCGAGCATTAATGCTTTTCATTACCTCTGATTTTGTTTCGTGGACAAATATAGACTTTTTTATGGATGATAATGGATTGATAACTCCGTCTACGTTATCGCTATTCACTGATAGGGCAGCAGTGACAGATTATAGGTGAGGATGACGCAGGTCAGTTGGCCTATCGTGATGAAGTCAACATTAAATTAATCACGATGGTTTTCCAGAGGGAACCGCGAGCATGTCGACCTATATATAGGGTAAATTGCTAGCAATTGGGTTGCTAATCCCCATTACTAACAATCCCTTCCCCCCTCATACATCATATAGTTGCATAACGAGTTTACCTAATAATAAGTTCTATTAACTTCAAACAATAAGCCAGGCTAAATTCTGGCCTATTGTTGAACAATTTTGAATTGAAAACAGGCAGGCGAAAGGTTGCGGCGTAAACAAAACTTAATTGTATGCCAATTGCTATTCAAATTTTGGGAAACCTTATATATTAATTAGAATTTTCACAGTACGTATTTTTTTTTTTTTTTTATAGATTTCTGCATGGAATTTTGGAAAGTGGTAATGGTTGATTATCACGATGATTATACGAGACAGGAGTGAATGTAAATATTTAGGTAAACATAAGACTAGAGCTAGCTAGAGCTTTTATGGTGCAGCAGCGTCCTTCTTAAAATGAATGTCATGACCAAAAGCTAAACTGGGGTTGCCAACCTGTCTG